GCTTTCTGTGGGAACAACCGTTCCCGACTTCTGGTCATCCGTGGAAACCTCACAGCTGCTGCTTACCGCGACCAGGTGCTCACCCTGGAATCAACGTCATGGACTGGCCATCGAGGTCCCCTGACCTTAATCCAATAGAGCACGTTTGGGATGCACTTGGGAGAAGGCTTCGTGGTCTTAGGAACCAACCTCAGAATTTGCAGGAACTTGGCGCTGCCTTGCAAGAGCAATGGCGCAGAATCCCCAACCACGTGTTCACAAGCATCAGGCAGTCGATGAGGAGACGGTGTTTGGCAGTGGTGAATGCACGGGGCGGCCATACACGATATTGAACTGAGAAATTTCGCATTTTATTCTTGTGACTTGACATTCTGTATACCCATGTTTTGAAACGGCGGTGTAGCCTAATGGAACTGATTATGGCACTGTCAGTGTATCGAGTACATCACACAGATCTCAACAACGAAATAATAACAATTTAACCATCTTACCATCTCTTGTTCTTTTATAGTGCCCTGAAGAAAGAATGTGAAGTTTCTTTTTGACTGGAAGGATCTATATTCGACTGTCATAACCACATCAACAACATGCATGGTGGTATAACTCAAATACTCTTCAAAAGTGTCTTTAAACAATATTCGCTTGTTCACTTTATATATATTTACGGTATTTTGGGTGGGCCATTTTCATGTCAATATGAATTAAAACTCAACAGGTTTTATCTTTCTCACCCGCAATTATGTTTTTACACGCCACACAACGATTTAATCTGATCCCCAAAATGCAGGGAAATTCCCAAAAAATGATATACACGTACATTTATAGGCAAACTGTGTGCTGCAGGTACGGCTGGACACACGGTGTCCTTTGTACTTACTTATTTTAGGTACTCGCGGGATGGTTTCCGGATGCTGTGAGATATCCAGCGATGGTTTCCGGTACCACCCATCCGACTGAGCAAGGCTATGTTCCTGGATGAGTGACTGCACTGATTGCACTGAGGTCATCGTGACCCTTTATCGTTACAGGGATATTAAACGCATAAACAGTTGAATACAGAAGTAACCGGATGTCTAGCCGCATTTAATATTTTCTTTCAAGGTTTTCGTGATATAACGCGTTCAAAGTAACTTTAGATACACAACGATCTTACTGATGCACCTATGTATATATGAAAACACTGGTCACTGGTGAACACAAAATATTCCTAAATCACACCGTCTTCGTTCTCCCGACTCTCCGTGGTCTAGTGGGTGGAGTGTCTGCTGGCAGAATGGAAGGCCATAGGTTCGATCCCCTGACATCAACTATCAGATACAAAGGAACACAGGGTATGGTAAAGTTTCGCTTGGTCGTCAGTGTATTTATATTTCTCATACGATTTGCATGATTTTATTTGAAAAGCCGAACAGCAATTACAGCATCACATAAAGTAAATGTAACCATCATCGTGGTCTACATGTAACAAATCCTTCAGCTAATAGACTTAATAATACTTTTTTAAAGTGCGCCGAGGGTCTTCACGTGAACGAGGCATCAGGCAAGTGAAGTGCCGTACAATCCTCGTGTCGTGTCGTGGTTTATATGGTAATCCAAGCATTTTCCCATTGTTTGTTTTATATAATAATGACTTGGAGAAAATAGACATCAGTACTTCTGCAAATGGTCCATAACAAATGTTGATAAAGAAAGAGATAAGCTGCAGGGTATCTGTGTGAGGTCAGTTTGTCAAGATCAATTTCAAATTAGGCGACTCCGGTTTTCCAAATCAAATATATGGGGGTTAAAAGCAATTACTAAACACAATCAGATGAATACCACACCTACATGGGGAATCTCACCCTAGTGTCTACTGATAGCAATTATATCAACACGAGTTGATAAAGTTACAAATATCCGAGTCTTGCAGAAGATATTTTTACCTGTATCAACGAGTGTGGATATAACTGATATCAGTAGACACGAGGGTGAGATTCTATTTATCATCAAAAATGATTCCTCATTAGTTTTCAACATGAAAAATGTTCATCTCTAAACACTGAAGTACCATTATACTTGCAGTGATGTCATAGCACTGTGACGTCATAGCATTGTCAGGGGCATTTGTACAAAATCTACTGTAAAAACGGTATCTCCTTGGAGATATCATATGATCTCACACAAGCAATATCTCCTGTGGAACACGACATTGGATGATAAATCTTTACCTACACCTACACCTGCTCCTTCACCTATACTGACCTTCACTTACACCTTCACCTACACCTACACTCTACACCTACACCTTCACTGACACCTTCACCTACAACTTCACTTACACCTACACCTACACCTTCACCCTACACCTACACCTTCACCTACACCTAACCTACACCTTCATATACACCTACACCTACACCTACACCTTCACCTACACCTACACCTTCACTACACCTTACTCCCACCTACACCTTCACCTTCACCTACACCTACACCTTCACCTACACCTACACCTACCTACCTTAAAATACACCCTCACCTTTCACCTACACCAACACCCACACCCACACCCAAACCCACACCCCACACCCACACCCACACCCACACCCACACCCACACCTACACCTACACCTTCACCTTCACCTACACCTACACCTACACCTACAACTACAACTTCACCTTCAACTACACCTTACACCTACACCTACACCTTCACCTACACCTACACCTACAACTACAACTTCACCTTCAACTACACTTACACCCTACACTTACACCTACACCTACACCTACACCTACACCAACACCCAACACCAACACCAACACCTACACTCTACACCTACACCTCCACACCTACACCTACACCTACACCTTTCACCTACACCTACACACCCTACACCTAACACTCAACACCAACACCTACACCTACACCTACACCCTACACCTACACCTACACCTACACCAACACCTACACCAACACCAACACCTACACCTACACCTACACCTACACCTACACCTACACCAACACCTACACCTACACCTACACCTACACCTACACCTACACCTACACCTACACCTACACCTACACCTACACCTACACCTACACCTTCACCTACACCTACACCCCCTACAGCGTCATCTACACGTACACGTATACATACACATACGCCAACATTTTCAGCTTCACCTTTCACCTACATCAATCGGGCAATCCAACTGACTATGACTGACAATGGGACCCCATTTAGCACACATCGACAGCCTGTTTGTTGGCAGGTTTCACCACCCTACAGCTACACAAGGAAACTGAAACCGCCACTGTTGTCAACTGTCCATATCTTAACAGGAGCAGGTGTAATGTGTCCCTGACCCAGCAGTACCATTTACACTGCGAACAATGCAGGGTCCCTGTGGCTACCTGTTGGTGATGTGGATGGTAAACGGCGGCAGGTTATCCTTAAATCATTCTGTGGATAGTAGACGGAGGCAGGATATCCTAAATCATTCCAATCAGGCTTGATGAAATAAGCCTCCAGTGAGGTAAGTTACTTGATTTGTTTGGAAGTGACATTGAAATGACATGATGTCATAGCAATGTGATGTCATAGCATTGTCAGGGGCATTTGTACAAAATTCCCGATATCTCTTTGGAGATATCATATGATCTCACACAAGCAATATTCCTCCTTGGAACACTTCACTCTAACACCCTACACCTACACCTGCTCCTTCACACTTACTTACACTTACACCTACACCTACACTACACTACACCCTCACCTACAACTTCACTCTTACTACACCTACACACCCTACACCCTACACCCACACCTTCACCTACACCTAACCTACACCTTCATATACACCTACACCTACACCTACACCTACACCTACACCTACACCTTTCTACACCTTCACCTACACTCTACACCTACACTCTAACTCACACTTCACACATACACTCTACACCTTTCACCTACACCTACACCTACACCTTACACTCTACAATACACCCCTACACCTTCACCTACACCAAATACCTACACCTACACCCACCTACACCTACACCTACACCCACACCCACACCTACACCTACACCCACACCCACACCCACACCTGCACACCTACACCTTCACCTACACCTACACCTACACCTACACCTACAACTACAACTTCACCTTTCAACTACACTACACCTACACTTACACTTACACTTCCTACACCTACACCTACACCTACACCTACACCTACACCTACACCTACACCTACACCTACACCCTACACCACCACTCCCCACACTCCACACTCTACACCTTCACCTACACTCTACACCTACACCTTACACCTACAACTACACTTTCTACTTCACACTTACACCTACACCACTACACCTACACTACACCTACACTCTACACCTACACCTACACCACACCTACACCTACACCCTACACCTACACCTACACCCTCCTACACCTACACCTACACCACACCTACACCTACACCTACACCTACACCTACACCTACACCCTACACCTACACACCACACACCTACACCCCAACACCTACACCTACACCTACACCTACACCTACACCTACACCTACACCTACACCTACACCTACACCTACACCTACACCTTACACCTACACCTACACCTACACCTACACCTACACCTACACCTACACCTACACCTACACCAACACCAACACCTACACCTACACCTACACCTACACCTACACCTACACCTACACCTACACCTACACCTACACCAACACCACCTACACCTACACCTACACCTACACCTACACTCTACACCTACACCTACACTCTACACCTACACTTACACCTACACCTACACCTACACCTACACACCTACACCTACACCTACACACCTACACCTACACCTACACTCTTCACCTACACCTACACCTACAGCAAGTCATCTACACGTACACGTATACATACACATACGCCAACATTTTCAGCTTCACCTTTCACCTACATCAATCGGGCAATCCAACTGACTATGACTGACAATGGGACCCCATTTAGCACACATCGACAGCCTGTTTGTTGGCAGGTTTCACCACCCTACAGCTACACAAGGAAACTGAAAACCGCCACTGTTGTCAACTGTCCATATCTTAACAGGAGCAGGTGTAATGTGTCTCTGACCCAGCAGTACCATTTACACTGCGAACAATGCAGGGTCCCATGGCTACCTGTTGGTGATGTGGATGGTAAACGGCGGCAGGTTATCCTTAAATCATTCTGTGGATAGTAGACGGAGGCAGGATATCCTTAAATCATTCCAATCAGGCTTGATGAAATAAGCCCTCCAGTGAGGTAAGTTACTTGATTTGTTTGAAGTGACATTGAAATGACATGAAGTCATTTTTAGATTTATCTGAAGGTCATTTTGACAAGAGGTTTAGTCTAATCTTTATTTGCGATTTTAATCAATCTTTTCTAAATTAAGAGAAGGATTCAATTTGGTGAAAGACTATCAACTGAAGACTGTCAACATTTTCAAGCTGTTTATATAGAAGGGGAAAGAAATGTTCACATTAGATACTGTCACATATTCAAACTATATACGGTCACATATTCACACTATACACTGTCATATATATTCACACCATATATACATGTCACATATTCACACTATACACTGTCACATATTCACACTATATAATGTCATATATTCACACATGTACTGTCACATATTCACACCATATAATGTCATATATTCACACCATATAATGTCATATATTCACACCATGTAATGTCACATATTCACACATGTACTGTCACATATTCACACTATACACTGTCATATATTCACACCATATAATGTCATATATTCACACCATGTAATGTCACATATTCACACACATGTACTGTCACATATTCACATCTTTATACACTGTCATATATATTCACACTATACACTGTCATATATTTACACCATATAATGTCACATATTCACTTCTATACACTGTCATATATATATTCACACCATATAATGTCACATATTCACACTATACACTGTCATATATTCACACTGAATACTGCGTCATGGTCACACACCACATACTGCCATATATTCACACATGTTCACACATATTCTGCCACATCATATGCAGTCAACATGCCACAGAGCGACCTGGTACAAAATATTGAAATAAATTCATGATATATGAAGATGAATTTCTTTTGTTTTAAATTCTGTCGAATGCCCTATAAACAAGATCTCAAGGTTAGCCTTCTGTTTTGTCACATATCAATACAGGCATATTATACACGTCAGTCCGTGTCAGATGTACTCCCGTCACAATAACAAGCTGTTTAAATAACAGATGAGTCGATATCAACAAGTGGGACTTGTACAGATGTTGCTATGATACAGTTTCTCCCATCCGAGAAGACTCTTTATAGACGTTAAACACATCTATGGTATTTAAGCGAGTTTATCCGATCTAGATATGACTAAAATGTCATACAATACTACCGGTGCGAATGTATGACGCATGTGCTCTGCCGTTGCTCATATACAGGTATTCAGTGCATGACGTCGTCCAGAATGATTGTCAGGACATAAAACATGTGATACATCACCTCGAAAAACTCATCTTTTCACAAAAGCTTGCCTTTGACAGGATATTTGTGTTTACCGGCCCCGGTAAAGCTCTCAAAATGTTTAAGGTAGGCATGTGGCGCACACTTCCTAAAGGGACGTATTGATAGAAATTTTAATTTTGACTTTTAGTTTACGACAGTGGTATTTTTAGATATTTATTTGACATGCCTTTGCATGGGTTTATAATGGGACAGGGTGCGTTTACTTGTCGCGCACACCTGGTATCAATAGTATTTTGTTCCTAAACATACCCTTCTCATATTCGGAACAGTACAATGTACAGGTATTTTTTGTGATCACTGTAATGTGTTTTTTATTTGAAAGTATCAAGATATGTTTATGTAGAAAACCAACACTCTTAACACAGATCAGGTGTGATGAATAAATGAGTATGTCACCCACTTAACAATAGACACAGAATCTGAACTGCATGCCCTGTGTTTGACACACATGTACACATTGTTTAAACGTTCGAGTCATGCATGGCTAAACACAGCAGTAGCGTCACACGTGAACCATAGGCTGATGTCTGGAGCCACGAGTGCTTTAAACACGGAAATTATTCAGAAGCTGGTATTACATACGACCTGTCATTGTTGCAACGCAACTATGTGTATTTATAGAAGGTAGCTAGCTATATGTGGTGGTAAGCGGCCAGTTTCCTGACTAATATACCTGCCGCTTGTTGGTCAGGGCAGTCTCAAGAAGAAAGTGGGTGAATGGACGGACAACATTCTCGTGGTGGCTTTCTGGGCGTGTGGCCCTGTAGGTATGTAAAACCTGTGGTTACTGGATATATGACACCACAAAAAGATGTTAGCAGGGTTCTGTATCGTGAAGGCTATGTCCGTTTACTGATAACTGAAAGATGCTCAGGGTCGCTACGCCCATGTAAGATCTGAACAGGCCGATCTGTTGTTCTCGCCAACCCATACGTTGAGAGATAGGTTCATGGTGACATTGGGATATGGTTCATCTTGGCTTCAGTAGATGTCACTACTGACACAATGTCGAGGTATCAGCGAGATGTCTAGAGGAGATATTAATAAACCGTGCTGGACTAACCAGCCAGGTTGTGCTATTAATGAAGTACTGAGTATAAAACTACCAAACATATTCATTTTAATACCCACTTTTAACAAAATGTGAACTAGATCAGGGAATTATCGTTCCTCGATTATCAGTCGAAAGAGATTCTAAAAATAGTCATGAACGATAAGAATACAAAAACTGAATTTGACAAAAATTGTAAATCCATACCGCTGAAAAAGTGAAATTCGTGTGTGATGACTAAGTTTGAATTTGTGTTTCGTGTATACAATAAACCTGCATTGGTATGACCTTTGCGTATGTCTGCATATAGTTACAACCTAATGATTTTAGAGACGTGCTCCTTGTAATGAGTCGACTGACACGCCTCTACTGGTTTAATGGGCACGGTCCGCTGTGTAAACTTATGTCACGTGGTCAAGCAGAGGTCGCGCTTCCAGGTTCTCACTGATTAGGATTGTTGGTGTCCAGCACCATGCCTGCTCTGCGGCGATGGCGCGGTCAAACGGTCAACGGTTACCCGCGTGCACCAAGACGGACTTCCTTCATAGTGTAATCTGACGCGTTGTGCTTGGTTCTGATTTACTGTCTGAAGAGACGTTAAACTCAACTGACTTACTAACACTTTGAATGCCAGTTTATTGAAATTTGTTTTATCTTGCAGTTGAACTGAGTTCTCCACGCCAAGATGTTCGGTCGGGCTGTATTGGCTGTTTTTCTTATCTACCTACTTCAGTGTTCCGGTAAGTACGACAAGCACACTAAATGCAACATAAAATCTAAATATAACAGTAAAATGATAAGACTCTATAAAAAACTTAAGGCTTAACCTACGTGTATGTACATTACGTAAACATACGAGTTGAGAACAGGGTGAACAAGTGGCCCAGTTGTCTGAGGAAAGGCAACAGGATGTACAGAGTTGTTGCCTAAGGCGTGATGGACTTCGAATGTTAGCTTAGCCCTGATCTTGATTCTTAGTATTTCAGCATTATACCAACGTATTTGATGTTCAAGGAGCTCTGTGGTAACCTGGTGGTTAAAGCGCCACGCTAGAGACCAGGGTTCGATCCCCCACATGGGTACAATGCGTAAAGCCCATTTCTGGTGTCCTCCGCCGTGATATTGCTGGAATATTGCTAAAAGCGGCGTAAAACAACACTGGCTCACTCACTTGATGTTTTACATCACCTCTGTGTTTCTTCCCAGATTAACCTCACACGATGAGATACTGTTGATACTGTTAAAGGCGGTATTACACCCATCCACTCACTCACATTAATGACAAATCCATGTACTAGTTCATGAACACACGTGTACTAGGCGTTATAGCCAACTGTCAAAGCAATAGTTACTATATCTAGAGATATTACGGTCATTAAGAAAGACGGCTCCTACGTATAATCGTATATGCGCAGCTGCTCAAATGGGAGTTCTGCTGATGCATAAAGAGCACCACTATTCAGCGTGTGAAATCAAACACCGTGATATGAATATAGTGACGATATTTCTTATGCTCCTTATCTGTGCATCACATCCTGTTAGTCCCTTTCAGGCCGACTTTCTGATTTAGTTGTTTGTTTGTCATTGCTATTGTAACGCTGTATTAAGCAACATTTCAACATTGTGTTAGTAAATACTCGACTTTGGCGGAGACCGTTACATCAAGGGTATCGATGTGTTCATTACGGATTCAATGACAATCATTAACACTCTAACCACCCGATAGTCGCGTTGTACGACAAGCATTGGTTGCTGAAGATCATTTTACAGTATCCTGTCACATTAAAAGTTTAAAACACAATGAATAATATATGTCCCAAACATCAGTTATCGTAGCATAGCAGATCATATTCCCTTCTCGATTTGTATTTGGTTGGTTGCATGAGAGTGCTGTAGGTTCCAGAGCTGTCTTCAAATAGACGTGCGTAGCATCAGTGAATCACCGACTTCCACACAATGACATGACTGTGTACATGTACACTGGGCCGGGACAGCTAGGCGTTGATAGTCCCTGGGATGTATAACAGAAGACTGAAACGTTGGAAAGATGCTAACGAAACATTTCACCATCGAGTCAACTGCAGTTGAATCTATTAATGAGTGGCCGATGTGTATACGAACATGGGAACCGGAAATGAAATTAACTCTGTCCAGTTTCGTGAACGACGATTGTGGAGTAAAATTATATGTCTGCTCGTCCATTTAACTTTCTTGCATCACTTCGGTCCTGCCTAATCAAACCGTGGAGTACTTATAATTATAACAACGCTGTTAAACCCAACTCCTACTCACTCACCACGCATCATCATTAGAAGGAGTACCTTATTTCATGAAACACCTGGCCTAGATTTTCGAAGCTCTATTAGCACTAAGACATATGTAAGTTAATGTTAATGTATGACACTTACGACTATATTAGCGCTAAGAGAGCTTCGAAAATCTAGGCCCTGATGTCAGTTTAGGCTAAGAATGCTCACTTACTGCAAGTACACTGTTGTTATCATTGTTACTGTGATTTTATGTCTTGTCAGCAACAACCTTTGATAATGTTCAGAGTTAAGCTGACGATGAATTGAACACTGTTTATCGTTTCTAACTTGCACTGTTTTGTATCCCCAGGCTGGCAATATTGTTCTGATAACAAATACCCGGCCCCCTGTACCCCATGTCGTAATGACGGCACCGACCGGTACAAGTGCCCCCGACAATGTGGAGGAGGGAGAAACATCAACTTGTGCGATCAGGTCTGCAGCAATAATTGTAAAGACTCGGAATGCGATTACATCGATGGCCAAGTATCAATGCGCTGTGTGAAAGGCTGCATGGACTCCTACACCGGCCTGGCGTGCCAACAATGGTGCAAGCAGGACTGTGCCACTTGTGACCAGCAGACTGGCCAATGCACTAAGTGTAATGAGGGACGATATGGCGATGACTGTGAGAAGACGTGTGGGAACTGCAGGAATAGGTCATGTCGCCGAAAAGACGGAAGATGTACCGCAGGATGCCAGTCAGGATTCTATGGAGACACGTGTAACAAACAATGTGATCAATGTCAGCAGTGTGGACAAGATGGTGCTGACTGCACTACGTGTGACCAAAACAATGGCACGTGTTTGCTGGGATGCACAGATGGGTTTTACGGCCAAAAGTGTACAAGAACCTGCCCGGACAAATGTGTGGAGTGTAACAGGGACACAGGGAGTTGTGTACAGTGTGAGAGCGGATGGGAGGGAGCTGTGTGTGGTAGAAAAAACAGTTCCACTACCAGTGACACCTAAACAACAACAAGGAGATAAACCCACGGAGGCCGTGACAACCAAGTCTGGCCTCATGAGCATGTTTGAAGATCAAGGTACAGTAAGATTTGTCACCGGCATTTACAAATATACAATATCTATACCGATTAAAGGAACAAAGAGGACGACAAGGGTCCATCGATCACTTGATTGTCTGGTTTGTTTATAGACCTCCCTGGCATGGCAGGAATACTGCTGTGCAGCGTCCGGCCCAAAATACTTCAATTTTTAGACACATTTTGTGAATGATGAGCGCTACTGGTATAACACCACATGCTTCCGTGTTCCGCGAACACAGCTGTCATCACTGATTTTCAGTGATCGTTCAAATTTTTGTTTCCCTTTTTCCCTTTACAGGAAATGGATTTTGTTTCTGAGGTCAAGACGGGGTATTCTTAAGTACTGACTATCTATATTCAAACAGGATGTGAAAGCGTTTAACGTGTTGGTTCTCTTGCCCAAATAAATACAATGTGAATTTATTTTTCTTTGTAAGCCTTTATTTTTATAAAACTGGTAAATGAGACGCAAACTTTATATACTCACTCTTATATGCATGTAAGATATCTGTAACAGAGATTACTTTTAAATCTGCTAAATGTAATACACACACACCACACAAACACATATACATGTGTGCGTGCATGCGTGCGTGCGTGCGTGCGTGCATAGTACAGATATTATTGCTCATGAGAAAAATCATGCTCCATTAAACAATAAGTTTCTCGGGCACAATAGAATTACTGAAACAAATTGTGAAGAAGGAGCGCTTATACTTTCTTCTCAGTAACAGTACAAACGAACACGTTTCATTCCACTCTTTTACAAAACTGTTAATGTTTGTGTTCGTTTTATGGATAACAGTGTCTACATCAAGAGATACGAGAGATTTGATCAATATTTCTCTGCTGGCAGAGTTAGTGACCGATTCGAGGGATTTAAAGTGACTTCGATGACAAACATGTCCACTTCAGGTGTAAAACGAAACATGCTCTTTAATTAACAGACGGTTCATTGTTTAGTTTACTTAAAACATAATGTGTGTCTTTTGTCCCCTTTTATTGTATGTATCATTGGAAAAGTTCTTTTTTAGTTAATGTTTGCTTTGCTTCTAAAATAATGCATTTTTATACAAACTTAATCACTAACAGCACTATACGCTGTCGCTGTCAGGGGGTAAAACCACATATTGATGGTTTTAAGAAAGTTAGAGGTATTCTGTTGAGAAAATTAATTTCTTAAGCAGAAATAAACTCAATAATTATTTACACAAAGTGGGCATTCTGCCATCGAGATTTCAGTTAGTCTTGCCAAGGTATAAGTGAAAAGCAGACACATAGTAAAAGCTAGTAGTTATTTTAAACTTACGACAGTATTAGTATGAATGTATGTGAAAAGGAATTCTGTCAATACGCATTCATAAGGTACAAATGAGAGTCAGCCCTTCCCTGATGGTGATCCTCAATCTTGTAACACAGACTTTCTGACAATAAAAACATTTTTATCAAAATATAACAGCACGATGCCTGTGCATTTTACGACATTCTCCCCTAACCTTCGTCACTTGATAACCATGACTACTTATATTCTGCAGATTACCTGCTGCCAGTGGTGGGTTGTGCCCTGGTTATCCTCATCATTGTTGCTGTGGTGATCTTTTGGAGGTGTAAGAGAAGGTTAGTTTAATGTTATACAGTTAGTGTGAGAGCAAGTGCGCGTCTGTGCTGAACAAATCGCTGGCCACAATCTCTGGCGACAATCAGCCGTCACAAAGCTACCAAACCTAACAAGTCCGTCCATCTTGGATAAACAATTGCGATCGATCTTCGTGGACCAGGTGGTCAGGAGACCTTATTGCATAGTCATCATTCTACCCCGACAGGTTGGGTCGTTGGTCTTAATATTACCCACTGGCTGACCTGATCGATTAGTTACAGTCGGCCGCTATGGAGCTGGAATATTTCGTGGCTGTAATGAAAAGTCGTACATATCTTACGGTGTGTGTCATCATTTGGTATGTTTTGCCAGAAATGACTAATACTCCTGTACATTTGACTTAGGGGATATTTTGTGGATGTTTCAGATCGAAGTCGAAGACACCTGGCAACGAGGAGGAAGGACAGTGTGACAGTGTATCTCAACACCCTAGTGTACACAGATTGTTCAACTCGGGTGGAACTGATTCCCACTACGATGAGATCGTAGACGACATGGACGGTATGAAGAAACGCCTCTTAGAAGATCGCGCACTGCCTCGAATCCCTACCCCTGAAAACAAACCTCTTGCTTGTCTGAGGAACAGATCTGGGAACCTCAGTACCCCATACATGAGCCCTATAGTGGAAGCTGTAGAGGAGGAAGAAGAAGAAGAACCCAAAACAACCCCCAAGGTTGTATTCACTGTAGAACCTCCTTCAGACGAGGAAACGACAGTGGGTCGTGATTCACTTGCTTCTGATGACTCAGGGTCTCCTGTTGATGGTCCAGAATTTGTCAAGAGGAACGGAAGTCTTGTCTTTGACACTGAGGCAGGTGATGGAGCAGCAGGAATGCCAGAGAAGCATGTTGATCTTCTAAATGTCCCTGGTAGAGGCATCTTCATCTTTCAGAACGGTTCCAATGTTGAAAATGGGAGTTATGGGGACTACACTGATAGTTGTAATAGTGGCTTGTCAACTCCCAAAGTTCCTGATATGTATCTTCACAACGCACCTGATAGTAACAGCCAACTGGCTACGAATATCGCGGACCATCTTGACAAATACCTTTCCCAAAGACAGAACACAGAGGCAGATCCCGAAGATGGGTACGAGACGCCACTACAATATGGATCTTCTGACACAGGTGTCTCAGAACCGAATGTTTTCACTGGCACCAACACTGAGCATCAAAGCGAAAAGAACAGCAAAGACAAACGGAGACTAAACTCAGAGGCAGTTCCAGAGAATGAGTATATGACTCCCGTACACAATGGAACCACTGACACAGGTGTGTCAGATTCGGGTGTTCGTATTAGTGCTAACACAGAGGAACAAAATGAAAAGAACAACAATGACAAACGGAGGTTCAAATCCAAGCTTCCGCTTCCAAAGTCAAAGACTAAATACAATCACAAATCATTTGTGCCAAAACGTGATACGCGTCTCAACATTGACGCATCAGAGAAGGAATCTATGCTAAATCACAGGGATACAATTGACTGTTAGAGACGTGTAGAAAGTTAGGACTGAGAAAACCATTTGAGAATGATCTCATGTGTTAAACAGAGGAACCGATCTATTGAGGTCAAGGACACCAAGAGTACCTGTTTCATCGTGTCACGTGACACCTCGCTTGACGGACATATGATCTGTATTTGTGTTGCATATATGTTGATTATGAGGATGTTATATATCAACCCATAATTCTGTCAGTGCCTTGACAAATGATCACCTGTAGTGGATCGACCATTTGATATTCTCGAGGGGATAAGAAGGGTATACTTATAAAAATAAGTAAGCTGTAATAAAAAAACAAGTTGTCTTTCACGAAATATGCATAGTTGCAACAAGCGATTTTTAACCAAAACGTTAATGGCTCATAATTTTGATTTCACAGAATATCTGTTTTGCAGGCTCGGATGATACATATCTAGCCTCCCAATGAAACCTCCTCCCCCAAGGAAAACGACTGGTCTGTCCCTAATGTGCCTTCTGTGCCATGGTAGTTTTATATTTTATCTGACAGGATAGTTAGTATCCTGCTGAGATAATAGCAATGAATTGTATCATAGACATTATCGATCTTCTATGCTTAGTGTGATTCTTGAGCCAAACTGCAGTGGAATATGGTGTACGGTGCTACTCCAGGGAGTGTGTTTTCCCCGTCACTTTGCTCATTAACAGACACAGACATAGACCTTCACACACATACACATACGCTATCTCTCTCGAACTCTCACACACACACACACACACACACACAAATCAGACAGACATACAGATGCACATATACAGATACACATACATATATGTATACACACACACACGCACACAAAAAAAATCAGACAGACATACAGATGCACATCACAGATACACATAGATCCATCACACACACACACACACTCAAATCAGACTCACAGACCATCACACATACACACACACTCTCTCTCACACACACACACACACACGCGCGCTATCTCTCTCACTCACACACATACAAATTAGATACAGACTTAGACCATCATACACATACGCTATCTCTCTCACACGCACTTACACACGCACACACACAAATCAAACACAGACATACTTACAGATGCGTATACACACATACACATATACATATACACACGTACACATACACGCACACACATCCACTGATATTGCTCTCTGTCATAAGTTCGAGCATTATTATATGATTATGATGCTGCATTTCATACTTGAATAGGTGTTGAGAAAGGATTACCTAGTTTCCATAGGACGTCAAACTATATATGTTGTATTTGTAAGGTTTCTTAGTTATCTGAATGCGCAAGGCAATTATGTAAAGTAGATAATGGGACAAACGATGGATCACTCACTGATGTTGATTGATTGGATGTTTGTTTGTGGGCAGAATTCCAGCTAGGTGGCAACGCATTGCTTGTCACGCGAATGTGTGATTTTACGAACGTCGCTTCCAGTCTTCAGTCACACATTCCGGTGTTCAGTCACACAATCGTCGTAAAATGACAACAACGCTGCCCATTCAATAAATCATTATGCATCACTGATATCTTTTGAACGGCACCAGAGTGGTAGTTTTGTTAGACTATGGTATTTGTCTGTTCATATCCAATATAGTGTACATTTATTTTAAAGAAACTACCGGGTTTATGACCATTATTTGTTGGATATAAGCAGTGTATGCGGTAGGGCCTGTAAGTCTCGCAAAGCGCTACTTCCAGTACCAAGCTGGTTCCCGGTTCCATTTGCGCGCGCCAACTTGCGATATGCGAGACGGGGGTCTAGCTTACTTCCGGTACCTGACATGCGTATATTCAAGAACCAGTTCTGGCTCCAAATTGCGCGAATATGACTTTACTAGAGCGGACCAAGTGTTCGTTGTTTTTCACCCAGTACTAAGCTGCCGTGACCTGCTTACAGGCCCTATCGTCTGTGATTTTAGACAATGTCTTTGTCTGTGTGTGTGTGTGTGTGTGTGTGACTGTGTGTGAGAGAGTGTGTGTGTGTGAGAGAGTGTGTGTGTGTGTGTGTGTGTGTGTGCGCGCGTGTGCGTGTGTGCGTGCGTGTGTGTGTGTGTGTGTGTGTGTGTGCGCGTGCGTGTGGGTATGCTTCTGTATGAAAATCATGTTTTGATCGCCCTAACCTGGAATCCACAGCAGATATCGATCGCTTGGAATCGTAATGCAATAACATCACCATGCTTTGCATATCATTAACACGTCATCGGCAATATAATGTCATACTCAAATGACATCTTCATCCGCCTGCCTCTGTACAGCCTAAACTCAAGAAACTGCCTATAGTTGAAAATGTTGTTGAATGACGAATAGAACCCCACCCGGTATCGTCGGTTACGAAACCTCGATGTGTTCCTGATATACACTGTATCTGGACAATCTGTGTGTCAATGTACAGAATAAAAGATGATTAAATAACTGTTCCTCTTGGTGATCAGAGTGAGTGAGTGAGTGAGTTTAGTTTTACGCCGCACTCAGCAATATTCCAGCTATATGGCGGCGGTCTGTAAATAATCGAGTCTGGACCAGACAATCCAGTGATCAACAGCATGAGCATCGATCTGCGCAATTGGGAACCGATGACATTTGTCAATCAAGTCAGCGAAACTGACCACCCGATCCCGTTAGTCGCCTCTTACGACAAGATAGTCGCCTTGTTATGGCAAGCACATGGGTTGCTGAAGACCTATTCTACCCCGGATCTTCATGGTCTGGTGATCAGAAATCGAAGCATTCTATTATTATTCCTGGTCATTATCTATTATAGAGACGCTCCAGATCATATACATGCATCCAGAGCAAACAGAAGAATCAGTTTGAGTGAGTTGTCTTTTACGCCGTGTTATACTATTTCCCTTTAAGTATACGCAGGTATAGACCGTCATTAATCACCACAGTTGTCAGTCACAGATTCTCATGTCAATACTTATATGCTGCCATGATATAAACCGTTGGTTTTTGACAACATCTGGCAAAACTGTTTGTGAAATGTAAGTCCCAATCAATATACTTTCTTTTTGTACGTCAGCATATCTGTATTATTGCTGACTGGCACACCAATGTATCTTACTTTTAATTTCATGATACTTACCCAGCATATCGATATAATGCCACATAAAAATATTTAGGACATGGAAACATTGTTTAGTAATTAAGTGATTAACCTGAATTTAGCATTATCCCACCATGTCAGAAGAAAGCCCAAAGTGGTACAAGTCAATGAGCACGGGTCTGGTGATGGCAGACATAGAAAACACAAATGAGGAGCTCAGCTGGATTAGATCGTTTCATGCGTGACCAAGGGGCTCGTCCCTGTACATCGAAATTGAGCTACCGGTAACAGTCAGGGATGTAGTGACAATTTATTGTCATCAAAGAGTGAATGAGTGAGTATGGCTTTACGCCGCTTTTAGCAATGTTCCAACAATATCACGGCGGAACGCCAGAAATGGGCTTCACAAAATGCACCCTTGTTGGGAATCGAACCAGGCCCTTCGACGTGATGAGAGAACGCTTTAACCACTGGGCTACACCGCTGCCCCTTGTTATCAAAGACGTATTCAGTTTTTGAGGATAAGATGAGGTGAGATGAATTGAGGTTTAACGTCAAGTTCAAGATTGTTTCACTGTTGTTGCCATGTGCATCCATGTTTGCGTGTGTATGTGCGTGTGTGTGCGTGCTTGCGTGCGTGCGTCTGTTTGTGTGTGTTTATTTATGTGTGTGTATATGTGTGCGCGTCTATCTGTGTGCTTACTAGTTTTAACGTGCCACCCACGCAGTTGAACATAGATAACAAGCTCCAACACATTTTCTGACTCAGAGCTGGCAAGTCCGTGTTTTATCCCATAAGTGCCGAGATCAGGCAGGTTAACAACAAGTACCACCTTTGGACGTCGATTGACCTGGTCATGGAACGAACCCCAAGGCTCCATTCTCCAGGAAGTCGTCACATGTATTGCCACAATATATCACATAAGCTTTTCATGGGTTATCCATTCTGAGATTAAACCTGGTAATCGGGCGTACCGAGGTTTCAGTCACTGTAACACTGGAGGATGTCCTATTCTGCAATCTTGACTTAACTAATAACTATATCTCTTGGTCATAAAATGTCATTATCTTTATTATTTTATACCTGATTTATTACATATGTATAAGGGTGTAAGACGTTTAACGTTCATATGAAACCATGCGCGAATGGCACAGTGCTACCGAACCAAAGATTAGAAAGAACCCATCTTGGATTCGAAACCACGGCCATCGGGTCCTGTCTCGCAAACAGACGCAACTTTGCTCAGACATTTGCGGCGTTTAAATGGCGAGTCCTAAGTGCAAGTGTGTGAGATTCTTTGCTCCTGAGCCTTGTGTGAAGTCTCGCCGTGTTAGAACTATATACATGATGAAGCTGTTTAACGGTAATTTGGCGATCGATTATGGAAACCGAAACCGTCGTACATACTTTCGGCATATGTTAATTTACATGAAACTGTTCCACTGTTATGCTAACAAATAATACTTTGGACGGAAATTATTTACTACCACGTGAAATTCCTTACTATTTATTTCAAAGATAATTGACAGTAATGACAAAAATACAACATAACCTCAACATGTTTCTCACAACAGATAACAACATGTAAGGTCTTAAAGCTGAATATGGTTTAAAAAATTAAAATTAATACAGTACATGGTTAAAAGAGTAGGTTGGTGAAGAAAACAGACGGATACGGTTGGCATACATGCTGTCTTGGTTTATGAATGTAATCCTATACAAATTGCGTAAATCTATGGTAATAATATTTGGATGCTATGGTCGTAAGACCACTCGCTAAAGCGATCTTAGCACTGAGATGATTGTAACATTACATTAACATAGACTTAAGATAGTCGTAGAGCTAAGATTGTTTTGTGCAAGTGGATCCAGATTCGATAATTTACAGATGGTCGTCATAAACAACAAGTACATCAGTAACAACAACACATCATCATCATCAACAACAACAACAATAGCAGACAAATTAACAATCAACTCTGCTCCCTTCTATATACAGATGCATGTCTTAATAACGTACTGACACTCTCACACTATCGAGTTCCACCATCATGCATTACAGCAGACAAGGTCCCACATAACATCGCCTAGTAAACCCACAGGGCTTTTATAGCAATGATGCTCACTATATTCCCGTCTTTTGTTGAAGTCATATTCACATAAAAATGTCATCTAAATTACACCTATTGGGTTTTCTATTGCTGGATAGGAATGGAAGTCACCTACAATGCCTGACCGTCAAATGTCCTCACAACAATGGCCGGGTTTCAG